TACAATATATTGAGAGTATTATATTAAAGAGGTAAGCTTGATTAGGCAATTCTGGACGTAAAGTCGGTCGCACCAACTACGAAATTGAAGCCGCCATCCGAGCAGTGCCCCAGCATGCGCGACAGACAATGCGCTCGTTGGCGCAGCACTGAAGAAAGATTCTATCATAAAGAACTTGTCTTTGTTCAATGTTGAATGTGACCCTTCCAGCATTGAAGAGGCATTGTTTCGAATGGAATGCCGCCTTGGCGACGAATCTCACTAGGACGCTATGGTCAATTGCCCTGATGAAGTAATTTAATTCGTTCAATAAAAACACATTATTCACCTCGTCCAATATGCGTTATTGGTGACATATACAAAACCGAATACACTTCGATCCGAGACGGTATAATGCAACCAAGTGAAAAACAATGGCACAATCGTCATGGACCAGAGTAGTACACGTTTTATACAGTAATTGAGAAATTGCCTTGAATTTTCTAGTCACGACGGCTTTTGCGTGCAGAACTTTTTCGAGGAAACATGTCAAATGCCATGTAGAATAATTGTGTGGTTATGACTGGCGAAATATTTTCTTCTGGCACTCTTTGCCCTCAACATGGCATAATATAAATACAGGGTCCAGACTATAGTTTGTAAGAGCAATCATGGGCACGCATCTCAGTTTGAACGTCGAGAAAGGCGAGCCAGAAAGGCGAGCCGCCAAGTATTTCGTTAAAGGGGCAAACATACAACCTCGACCTGTATGGGCGAAGGGTGCGTTGACAAGATCCTACATGGCAACCCAGGGCGATTTCGAAGCCTGCTCCGCATTCTACCAAGTACGATTACAGATTTTTCGCTGGACATAGTATTTATACTCGATATATGGGTGTTCATTTTCTACCCTGTCTGGCAAAGTCAAACGTCAACTTTGCCCAAATGGGAGAATGGGCATGGTGTTATTTCAAAACTTCGATATTGCATTGTCGAAAATGAAATATTTTTTCTGGATGTTGCCAGATTGGTCCTAATGTCTCGTTGTTTGTCGATGATGAGGTCACTTGGTCCACAGTAGCACTCTTGGCAAACAATTTCGCCCAAACCCCATCATAAACGTTTCGCCCAAATCGTATCACAAATAAATATAATTCCATGACCAATTCTCAAGATAACAAGGCAGTGCCACTGGGGTGAAAATTTCCGTCGTCCGTGCATCGGCTGGTCACAAAGGAAATTGTGTCCAATGTCCACAGTCAAACGAAACTACTTCCACAGGTTTTGATTGGGTAAAAGATTTCAACCCGCACATTGATTGGAAAAATGCTTGGACCATAAGAAACCGAATTGTCCCAGCAATTGACGAAATCATGGTGGTGTTACAAATTGTCGCGTTGTCGTCCTCAGCCAATTGAAACCTGTGTTGACAAAGTCAAGCACTTGTCTATCGGAAAAGTGGCTCCTTCATGTCGATGAAGGAAGTGCTGCGGCCAGCATGCGACGGCCTAACGGTGGGCATAAAGCTCACAAAACCAGTAAGCAATCGGCATACCTTGGTATGATGTCATGGCCTTTAACGTAGGTAAACTTTGTGGTCCAAAAAGAGCTATTTGCAAACACTTCACCTGCCATTTTGGCAGCTCTAACGGCTGCGCGGTCGAAGCTTCTCTGTGAATGCAAGGACTTCGCAAAACCAACCCCGAGCCAGTGGGACATCGAAAGGGCTTTATTCCAAACAGAGGCGTATTTCCAATCTGCCTCTGAATACTTGTCGTTGGTGAAGGGATTCGTTGAACGAGTACGTCTCTGGTGCGACAGTGTGGGCTGATCTTGACAACACTCTATGTAGTCCATTCCCATCGACTCCACCACAGACGAAAAGGAAGGATTGCTTTCAAGCGATTCCGTGCAACTAGTGTCGAACGTTTCATTCACGTGCTGTGAATGGCTCGACATTTCGTCGATGACGTCGTTGCATTCGTTGAACGCATACCACGAGTATGCCCACGCCTTGTTAGCTATCGGTTGTGTCGGCTTGCAGCGAGCGAACGACTTGGTACGGTGTCGATGTCTCTGGACTTGGCATTGACAGAAATCATCAAAATGCAGAGCCAAATAATGCTACGGTCGCGAGATTTCGAGTTCGATGAACCTAAACTCAAAGAGGCGTACAACCTGCTCCTTCGAGTGGCCGGAATCTTCAACGCAGTGCTTTCTTGGCTGGGCTCATCTTCCTCGACCGCGCCAACCGAGTTGAGTGAGGACAACTTGGCCCAGTGGAGAGCCGAGCAATCGCGGGCTGGGAACCCAGACATTCAGGTTTTTGCTTTGCTTTGCTTTGGTAACGCTCCATGAATTCTCACAAAATGAATTGTAGTCGCTGCAACGCGTCAAGGACTTTGAAAATGGAACTCTGTGCAAGATTCTGCACGGGGTGGCGTTAGCGCAAGCCCAAGAACTCGTTTTGCTGCGAGGAGTTACGAAAGAAGTCGTGGATTGGGTGCTGATGGGCAAACTGGCCATGGATATTTCCCGACGATACGGAGGTGCATGCTGCGCAGCGTTGAAGGCATGGCTGAGCAACGTTCGTGGTAGACTTGTGTCCCCCAGCAAAGTGGAAACCGTGGTTGGACTGGAAAATGACGTACTACGTTGGTCTGAGCTCGTATTATCAAGTAAGCCGCGGATCTTCACGTCCACACGCTTTGAACGAACGTTGTGTCCAAGTAGGGAGTGGCCGAATGGGCTAAGAACGACGGAAACAGCTGCGCCCAAGCCATCGCACAATTCCAATCCGCGAAAGAGCAGCTCTCACCCCTACAAAACAAGGAGGTCGAACGATCGAAAGCAATTATCGATCGCGACTTGGACATTGCTACCGCCCGCAACCGTTCGGTGTACCTTGAGCAGGTATGACACGACGTTCCTCATTAAATTCCTAAGATGATATAGGTTCCCGCCCCTCAACCGCCGCTTGATCCGGTGAGTCTGGTTCAAGTGCAATCGTTTCAGCCAGGTATTGCGGTTGCTGGAGGCAGGTACACTCACGTTTCATCTACGAACAGTCCATCCCCACAGTTTGTGGGACGAAGCTGCGCATTCCAAATCGACGCTTGCCGGTCCAAGTACCACATCGTCCTCTGCACCTGCCGCGCCCCCAGTGCAGTATGCAGACACTTCCAGCGGTTGCTCGTGTGCAGTGATGTAGATGCTCTATTCTTGGCAGTATAGTATAGTTTTCATATCAGTTCCCATGAATATGGTCAAGACAGGTATCGGGGTTTCGTACTCGGCCTGGCTGGATGGAGAAACCAACGAAATGCGTAGATAAAATCGCGTGTGTGACGTTTGCGTTTGAAGCCGCGACCACGACATGACCAAGTGTTTAGATGCCAAACTCACTCCATCTTGTGTACTATACTTGCTGCGTGAAAACAGTGTTGGTATCGAGAAATGAGTTTGGCGAGAATTTTTCTACAAAGCCAAGCTCGTGGGTTGTTGTTCAAGCAAACTAGAAATTCCTTCGAGAGTTCCTGTTTGTTTCAGTCGAGGGCGAGGTTTGCCCCAGTGAAAGTCAATCGCCCAAAGCACTGCTCTGGTATTGTCACCAGCATGCCTCGCACTTGGGAAGCGCCCTCGTGACGCAATCATTCGAGAGGTCTTGACTGAGTTTTGAAACATGTGCTTTCATCATTCCGGGCGCTCGAAGTTCGAAAATTCCCGCGAAACGTTGACGAACGAAAAGGTTCGAGTTCGACAGAAACTCAACGTCGCAAGCACTCCCATGAGTGCCGCGCCGCATCCTTGTGAACGATTGCTTTCAGCAACGAACACAAATGCAATGCCTGGCCATGCGCATTCGATCCCCATCATTTTGGCATGGATGTTGATTGCGATTCTTGTGGCAGTTCCGTCCGCTGCACAGTCAACCACGTCATCCGACAACTTTTCCAACTACGGGACGTTCATCGCTCAGTTGCCTCGATTGCCTTCCGACGAGACGCCAATCCTCACTGTGGACTCTATCTCGTACGATGCTGTGAATGGCTTCAACGAATCTGCCCAGCTTGTGCTCTCAAATGTATCCATCTCGATGACGGCCGAGTTTACTGTCGTAATGACGCTGTCAAAGCCAAGTACGCCCAAATATGTCGCAATTTACTGCCAGGAGTCCCTTGAAAGCTATCCAACGCAATATCACAGCCAAATTCTTCTTGCACCGAATTTGACGTGGCCACTGCCTGCCCGAGAGAGAGGACATCGGCGATCCCTTGACGAACTCGTTCTATCAATTCGAATGCCACATCACTTCATCGGCACGACAGATTTCGAGCTTTTCCTGACTGCCCGCATTCATGACACTACCACGCAATGGGTACAACATGGCAGCTTCATGTGGTCAAAAAACAAACATCTTCAGGCGCCAACTCCTACTATTCAGAAAACTACACCGCTACTCTTGGGTGCCGTGGCTGCCAACACGTCCGTGGCGATGGGCGCGACAGGTCTCGTGGAGCTCTCCGACATTGCGCTGGACGCTTCGGACGTGCTTCAGGTCGACGTGCGGGTGTACGGCGCCGTGGCGTCGGACGTGAGGTCGTCTGTGCTGGCCGTGGAATCCATGACCAACTACCCGACCATGTACTCGGCCGGCGCGTTCGTGAACGGGTCGTGGCGCTTGGCCGCCAAGACGCAAGCCTCCTCGCCAAACGTGGCGCGGCGTGTGGAGTCTCTGACGATTGGGTTCCAGACCGGAAGGTCGTATGTGGGGACGCTGCCGTATGCACTTCGGGTGACGGTGATCAAGGCGAGCCGGCAG